TTTCAAAGGAACAAATAAATTTCCTGAGAGAAATGTTTGCTAAACGTGAAATGACTGAACATAATCGTGATGCAGAAAAAGAGGTGTCTGTAAAGATGATGACGGTCAAATATAATGCCAGAAGAAGTTTTTGTCAGCAGAAAATCTTATCTTAGCATTAGCTAAGATTGCAAACTACAGTCAGTAGACTATCTCGGAAGAAGAGGATTTTGTAGCAAATTTTGAAAATGATGCTTCCGAAATAAGAAATCTTGCAACCAGTGCAAATTTATGTATTGTAAGCTTTTAGAACAAATGAGAATTGTATAGGTGACCTCTTTCAAATGACCCCCTTGTCTTCAAATTGTGTACCGTGGTGACTGCCAAGGACTATGGGCCTCTTGTTGATTGAAAATGGAATAATATTAAATTTTGTACATGGATATCTCTAAACAACGATTGTTAATTTTTTGAATTGTTACAGCTTGCATGTAACAAGTACCATAGCCCGTGCACTATAATTGTTGTTTTAGATAATAACAGACTTGTTTATCATTGAACTGCAGATGTTACGGCATGTGATGGTTTCAGTCAAGATGTTCAATATATATACATTATTATAACAGTAACTTGATCCGAAGAGTCGTATCACGTCGAGTTGACAGGCGCGGATCATCAGATCAAACGAGACGCGAAGCGTCGAATTTGATCTGATGATCCGCGCCTGTCAACGAGACGTGATACGTCTCTTCGGATCCAGTTGCTGTTATAATGATAAATTTATTATATACCCCCCTTACAACTAGCAAAATATAGTTTTAAAAAAACTTTTGAGATCAATGATATAAGATTTTCCCATTAAACAAAGCATTTTGTCAAGGAACTTTTTGATGCGCATGAAAAATAACGTCACGTTTCTGTGTACTACGTCATCAATTTCAGAGAGGGGTGATATGGATTCAGAAAACCACAGTGTGGTGATCCGGAAAGTTGGATCACACCGTCACGTGATTGTATGAAATCTACAGTAAAATTGAGTGATACATACTTGGGTATATAATAAATTTTATGAACATGTCAAATGTATGAAAATTCATGAGGACATTTTCATATTTTAGGCACCTGTGCATTTACAATGTATATCTTGTAGTTTAATTAGTTATACAATGTAGTTTATGAAGTAATTCTTTATCCATCAGTATATTTGAGGTGTTATTTCTTGACCAACTGACAATATTATTCAAACATGACTAATAATGCAATCTTTGATTATTCATAGTCATCTCCAAGGTCAGGATTATTTAATTAAAAATACCTTCATTAGTACATGTACGAGGGGCATTTCAAAAGTTCTGGCAACTGGTATATAAAATTTTAACTACGTTACTGATTAAAATGACTCTGATACCACTGTAAAGCTTAGGCAAATATGCATTAGTAGTGACGTCATTTTACATTCAAAATGACGTATAGGTCTGCTAAAATGACGTCATAACTAGGTAAACTCTGTATACTGGGCGTAAAAATGACTGATAAGGAGAACAATTTTTTTGTTGAGCAAAGAGCGTATTGCAAAATTCGCTCATTGCTTGGCTTTACGGCAACGGAAATAAAAGCCGATTTAGATGTAGTATATAGAGAGCATGCTCTTTCATATCGAGCAATAGCAAGATGGGTAGTTCAATTTAAAGAGGGTAGAAAATCAATAGGGTTCGCCGAGCACCGTTTTTGGTTCTAAATTTACTTTGCTATGGGGTATACGGAGAATGCTTGATTTCACTAAGACGCTTGTAAACAAAGTTAAAAACGTCAAAACCGTGACAGTACTGTTTCGCAAGACATCGCTTTATTTACATTTAATAAAGCGATTTAAGAGAGGATATGAGAAAAGGAGGAATGTAAACACGTGGCAAAAAGGCAGATTTGATAGAAAGGTACTTAAAGTTAATAATTCAGCAAAACATGGGAATTACTATCATTCGTAGTAATAATGTTGTGCAGACGAAAATGTGCATTTGTTAACGTTAGAGGACGTACTGCATGTACCATTGTCTCTCACATCACAGTCATTGTTATGTCTAACATACTCTTCATTGTCAGATTGACACTTAACTTCAATATAAAACTTGTAGAATGTGAAGGCGTCCAGCCTCTGCTGTCTGAACCTAAAAGTGGAATGTATGGTATATGGCCTTCAAGATGTGTCAACAACTTCAGTCTTAACATTGAGATCTGCCTTGTATCTGTGTTCAACAAATAGATGTGTACTTTATGCGCAGACTTGCAGGTTTGTTTACTGTGTATGTTCATTAATAATCATAGTTACTTATATTAATGCAAGACACTGTGCACTCGTACACAAACCCATGTATAGGGAGGATCTTATATATTAGTAGTAGTACAGTTAAAATTTGGTATCTTGAACATTGAAATTTGGGTTCCGTAGATATTTGAGATATCTGCATTTACCTGTACTATGCAGCCCTAGTAAGAACCTAACTGTGTCTCGGGTCAAGCCCTCACCGGATCTGTAGGAGAATATCATTTTAACGATAGAATCTATATGCAGCCCATATTCCACACTTGAAATGTTAATGATAATTCTTGTTATAGATATTTTAATGATTGAATCACCCCCAATTTTACAAATTTAATAAAAGATCACAAGTATTTTTAAAACATATATTACTCTTTGCAATGTTCTATAATTCATTTTGATTGTTTAACATTTTATTTAGGTCAACTAGAACTGCAAACTGTAGATAAATGGCACAGGCGAAGTTTTAAATTCCCACTATGAATAACTGGGAGGCACAGGGTACCATGGGATGTGTAAACATTAAGCTGCAGTGTTCCTGATGTTACACCATTTTGCTGCAGGCAATCTTGAATAGACTGATGATCAGGAGATCAAATACAGAAAATATCCAAAAATTTCATAATTTAGCCAAAATATTCATTTTTCAGGTATAAACTTAATCCCAAGATTTACTTAAATTAAATACATATGTAATTAAATAATAGGCTTGAGTATCGCAAGCTACCTAACGATATGATACATATCACGACAGGTCATGCGATACAAGATGTATGATCCAGCTGTCAGAAATTGAATTGACTGTTATCTTAACACATTATTCATTGCTAACATCTACAGTTATAGAAAATATAAAAATAATATCTTGATACCCCTGACCAAAGTTTATTATAGGTGAATTTATAGTCTTGACAATGTATTTTTTCTTTGCTACCTTGTTTTCAGTCATTCTAAAACATTAAAATTTTTTAGCTTGTATGTAGAAGTTTCAAACAAAACAATGAAAGTTATAATGTACTGTATCACGATATATACATGGCGATACGATATGCGTATCGTAAGCCCTTGTGATCAATACGATTTATGTATTGCTGTATCGTTACACCTCTATTAAACAATTGTATGGATAGCCTATAGCCTTCCTGACAATATATTTACATACTATACATGAGTTCTGCATACTACAGTCAAATTATAAAGTAACAATCATTTTACCACTTCTGAAGCTTGATATTATGGATAAATAAACTTTTATTTATTTCAGCCTCTCCGATTGAAGCAGCAGATCACTGAAGAAAGAAATTTTAATTTTAATGACTTCTTTGATAACTCCTGGCCAGAACCATTATAGAAATAATCATGGATTCCATGACAGGGACAGGAATATGGTCATCAACTACTGTTTAAGTGCTTCAATTTCTTGACTGTGGATCATGAATTCAATGAAATTGTATTGAAAATGAACTCAAAGTGAGATCAGTTGTACATCTCTTAATGAGAACTTCACTTCTCTGATACATCTCTTTTACATTCTCAGATTTGTTAATTCAAAAAGATTTTAATTCTGTTTATTTAAAATTGGATATCCTCTATTCATTTTAACACTACAGGAAATATCTTAGCATCATTTGTTATATGTAAAAGATAAATGTATAACCATCTACACAATTACTACAGCTACTAATCACCAGATTTTTGCATTCCCTCTGTAGAAAGACATGTATAAAGTTAATGAATTTATCTACAATTCTTGCAATTGTATTCCAACTTTTTTGTCCAGGTGATCAAGCCTTGAATATATTTAAGGAAGCTCCAAACACTAATGAAAAATGTTTTAGGAAAGTTGTATCAAATAAAGGTGTACATATTGATTTTATGTAGCTCATTTTTAACATAGAATACATGTACCTGCCATATTTTTGCAGGGAAAATGTTTAAAGACAATGAAGTATTCACATGAATGCTGTTTACTTATACATATACTAGCAAAATATATACAGGTCATGTATTCAGTAACTATATTTTGGTCTAACATATTAGGAGTACAGGTTTTTTCAACCGTTTTTCAAATTGTGTCATTTTCTGAAGATTTCTGTTTTTTTCAAATGCCAGATCATGATCCAATTATATACATTAAATACTCTAAAAAGGAAGTTCTGGGACAGACAATCTTGCTTCGTTATTAGCATAATTCGTTACATCTGTTAAGTATTCAGTACATTTGAGGTCAAGGAGAATGAAAATAGCTTCGCTTTAAGCGTCACTTCATTATAAGCATATTCGCTATAAGCATGTTTTACTGTAATTAGAACTTTTTCAGTGAGCAGTGTTTACAGCTTAAACATTGGATTGGTATATGTAAAAGAAGAAGTTGTACATTTAAGCTTTCATATTGACTGTAATTAGTTTAATTCTTCAGCATTTTTATTGTGCACTTTTGTCGACTAAGTAACAGTTTCCAGAATTAGCCATTGCAAAACATATAAAGGATAAAATTCAGTTCATATACCACAGGATTGACAAATAGCTGAACATGTTTAATTGTTGAAACTAGTGTAATCTTGAACTATTTTACAGTTCTCAATTTTTGGAAGTGGTCAATAGAAAAATTGTCCAAAGTCTGCATGGATATTGGATCTATTTATGAATAGGTTCTTTGTATTCAGGGGTAGTCTCTCCTGTAGAAAATTCAAAAATAACATGTTGGATTTGATTACTACATGTCATCTCCATTACAGACGAGGTGCTTGGTACTTGCTTATTTTTCCCACAGTTGCTTTTAACAATGTGGAGTCTCTTCAAATTGTCTTCCATCACTTGCTGTGCTGAAATTGAAGTCACATATGGTTACTGGACTTCAGCAAGCACTTCAATCTAACCAAACTATTATTTTTTTTTCGAATCAAATTACATTAATAATGTAATCTTATTTTGTGATTCACTTTTCATACAGTCATCTCTTTACATATTATGGCTCAGTGATAAATAAAAACTATAAATTCACTTGTTTTTTACGAGACTTGCATGATGCATGATTAAATTTGTACTTACTTTAGTATTGGAAATTCTGAATTCTGAAATGTAAAACAAAACAGAAACATTTAAGCTACATGAACTTCAATAAATCATTACATGCAATAGCAATCAAATGAACACTGATGAAATCAAGAAATCCTTTATATTGTACAGATTATCAATAAATCAATCTTACTGCACCTGACTCTGACCCCTTAGTCAGACTCTTGGAAATAGTAGTGGCAAACAACAAAAGTGTGATCTTTAGCTGTATCCAGGGACGCCATGTAACCGTTTCGTCGTAGGATCTTCTCGTTTTATGGCTACACGCCACTTTAGTTATATTACAGCATGGTTTGGTATATCTGTGACCATTTTACCGCCCAAAACGAGGAACTCAAAGGTATATAACCATCGCAAACTCGTAATCAAGTTGATAAACAAAAGTGAGAAAGTGAAAATAACGTGTTGAAGCGCACGTGTGACGTGATCAAGCGTCTTTCGTATACCCCATAAGAACACAGTAAAATTTAAAACCAGAGACGGTGGTCGGCGAACCCTATTGAAGATGACCCCCGTTCGGGGCGTCCAGTTTGTGCATATGGCGAAAAAGAAATCCTCGCTGTTCAAAATACGATAGCTGATGATGCTAGATATACAGTTGAGGAAATAGCAGACTTAACTAACATTAATTCGTCAGCAGTTTTTCGTATTTTAAAGGAAAACTTAAAGCTTAGGAAAGTCTGTGCTAGATGGGTGCCGCATCTTCTCTCGGAAGATCAAAAGCGCATCCGGGTAGAAATGGCTTCACAGTTACTAACAATTTATGAAGATTGTCACCAAAGGCGAATAAATGAGATTGTAACTGGTGATGAAACATGGATATATTTTTTGAACCGGAAACTAAGCTCAATAATAAAGTTTGGATCGGTGAAAATGATACAAGGCCTCAAATTGCATGCAGAAACCGGTCTGTCCGGAGAGTAATGTACGCCTTATTTTTTGATTCTAAAGGCCCTGTTGCTCAAGTTCCGGTTCCAGAACACAGCAGTGTTACTGGTCAATTTTATGCAGAGAATGTCTCGTGTCAGGTTGTAGAGTACTATAAAACGACCCGACCAACAACCAGTACTAGAGGAAAAAAGCTCCTCCATGACAACGCACCTGCCCATAGATCAGAGGTAGTAACCAAATATTTAAAGGAAAATGGTATTGCCGTTTTACCACATCCACCCTACAGTCCTGACCTAGCTCCATGCGATTTTTGGTTGAATGCCGTTATCAAAGAAGCCCTCCTAGGACGGCGATTTGAAAGTCGTCATGCAGTTAGAAGTGCCGTATTCCACTGTATGAAGCGTATACCGAAAGAGGACTATAGGGCAGCATTTTCCACATGGATTTCAAGACTGAAAAAGTGTGTCCAGGTCAACGGAGACTATTTTGAGGGATTGATATAATTTAATTTATGATAATGACGCTCATTAATTTACGGCACACCAGTTGCCAGAACTTTTGAAATGCCCCTCGTATAATTTTAGTCCTTTTCATGAATACAGATGTTAACAAAAAAGTTTTGTGCAAGATATTGAAGTTTATTTGCAAAATAATTAAGTCGCCCGCGTGGCGCAGTGGTTAGAGTGTCTGCTCTAAAGTCGCGAAGTAAGGAGTTGATCCTTACGTAGCGGGTTCGAATCCCACTGTGGGATGTGGAGACCGTATAAATCGAGGTCCCGTGTCACAGTAGGTGCTGGCACGAAAAAGATTCCTCACTGCTCAATGGCCGTAAGTGCCAAGTATAGGACAAAATTTGCAGCTCTCCACCGGCAAGTGGTGGCGTCTCCATATGAGTGAAAAACTCTCGAGAGGGACGTTAAACAACATGCAAACAAACAAAATAATTAATTTCACTTTCCATCCACAGCTTCACGGGAGTTCAAAATGAATATAATAAATCCATGCTTTTTAATTTCATTTTCTATCCAAGGGATATAAATGTTTCTCCGAGAGAGATGTTACAAACATTACAAGTACGTATTAAACACTGTTAAAATCTTCATTTAAAATTTGCATACGATGTTCAAGTGTTATAATCTGTATACACAATGTATGGTAAGAAACATATGCATAATTAAAATCATAAAATGAGATATAGTCGTCATAAATAAATGCGTCATCAAAATTTCACATTCCCCGAAATAATTCAGTTCACAGTACAGTGAATGATTGTATAGTTAAAGGAAATACCAAAGATCGCTGCGCAGCAATGAATTCGAAGTGCCTCATGAAATCGAAGTAAAAAACATACATAGTTTAATTACATTCTATTCTATTATATTCTCATGGCCGTAGGAACCGGGGGGGGGGGGGGGCGTACTATATGCTTGTGCCCCATCAATAAAAACGTCTGATGACCTTTTTTTTTTTTTTTTTTGCTTGTCAGGAAATTTTTGGTAGTGCCCCCTCAACTGAAAAATATTTGGCTGTGCCCCCCCAAACTGAAATTGCTTCCTACGAGCCTGTATTCTGTTACATTCTATTCTATTTAATTTTTTCCAATTCTTACATGCAACTTTCGTATACTGAAAGGAAATATTACTTGAATATTCACATATAATTTCGAAAACTTACATTATTGATATGTAATTTAAGGGATATTAAGGCTCTAAATTAAAAAAAAAGTTCTAAAGTACAGTTTCATAGTAAATCAAAGTATTTATGGAAAGGACGTACCCCTCCCCACAAAGGAAAAGGTGCAAAAACTGATAAGGTCATACGCCTTGCACTATGCAGGATATTTGATTCGAACATGAACAAGGTAACAGACGGACGAGAAACCCTATACAAGAATCGTCAAAAGCCAGATGTATAGAGTAGATAAAGCCCTCCGTCGTAAAATCGATGTATGTTGAGAATGGCGCAATTAAATGATGGGACTTTATTTCTTTAATAGAGTAGCTTCAAGCAGAGATAGCAATATGAATTGAAAACAACTTTCGAAATCATTATTTCCGGTCAGAGTTGGCAGTACGAGATGGGTACTCGCACCATCAACCCAATCGACACATTCTTCCGAAATGACCAGGGTATTTTGTACGTCGATTGGATAATACATCGTAATCACACTTACTGCAGAGGGCAGGAGATCTGAGCAAACTTGCTCATGATTTGAACATAATTTTGTACCTGGTTGAAAGGCCCAAGGGCCTTAAGGGTCACCTGAGTGAAAATACAACACTGTGGAGGATCTAAAGAATTATAAAAAAAGAAAAATAAACAATAAATAGATAAAGCTATTTTGCCCCAAAACAAGAGAAACAGGATGAACAGGTATCAACAAAATAATTGGCAGTACTCAGTAACAAATCATAAAGTAGATCTATTTATTTGCCCCCATTTATCACTATCATAATGCAAACTGAACAAAACAATAGTGCTTGAGCACTATTACTACACCCATCTCATTTCCTCTCACACTGGTGTCTCTTGGTCTTTGAATAATATTTAAGGACACACGAGACCTTCCTCAGTTACAGATAAATTTCCACAAAACTTCATGCTTTATCTATTTGCATATAAACCTGTTTATGCCCAAAAATTTTGGGGTATATCACCAGGCTATTTATAGAGTTAGAATAAATTGGATTATCCTTATTATAGCATGCAAAAAAGCTATTGAATGCTATAAATAAAGTCATAGTATATATTTTCCATTGACACTATATATCCAGATGGGAAAGTATGATATAAAATGAAATTTAATTTTTGAAAGCCATGTTTCCAGGCTATTGAAGAAATTTTCTATAGAAAATGTTATTTTTCTCATTGTAACTGATCGAGTTATCTCTCTTTGATAAGAAATAAATGAGATACAGAATCTGTATTTGCATCATGGATAATTTTTCAAATCAGAAACATGTAGTCATTATATTCATATAACAACATCTTTCTAAACCTCTATAAAAGATCAAAAGAACATCACCAACTGTGCAAGTGTATTACTCACAATATTGAGCAAGTGGTCATTTACAATTCATAAAATACTGATGTAAGGACTTGATAATTTTACAATTTGATGTTACTCTGACCTTACCCCTGACAAGATAAACTATGCCATTCACAGGATCTCTTTGGTGAGCAATACAAAGATGGTCATAATGAAGACCAGAATCTGCAATTTTGTTAGCTGTAAATTTGGATAAAATATTTTCATCTACAAGATGTTTCAATGAAGAAGCATTTCTACTCATTACAATTGCATAATTGTCACTTTCAATAACAAACTCAACACTGAAGCTGTGTTTCTTCATCATCCCTCTGGATATCTCAAGAAGAAGCACAAGTCGTTGTACACCGTATACAACGGGTAACGCGGGGGAGTCGCTAACAAGTGTGGGGGAGTCGTTTTCAACGTATGGGGGAGTGCATTTTTCACCGCTTCGGAGGCAGGAGAAAGGTAGGTCACGCCTTTTTTCGTCATTTGTAGCATGTATTTACAAAAATTGTATATCGCACGGAAGACAGCGATAGTTATGCTTTCTTTTGGTCATTAGTCCGGCTCTCAAATATGTCTAGTATTCTCAAACACTTCGAAACTATTGCACAGATTTCAAATTCACGGCGATTGAGTGGTCAAAACATGAATGTTTTGCACAAGCTACGACTTGCAATGTGGTTTAGATAGCTAAAACAGCGAAATAAAACTTTTATCTCTTACCTGCAGCAATCAAAACTTTTCAAACCCTTAGAAAAATAAGTAATTGGGACATTTTCTCTTCAGATAGTAATTGTTACGCAGGGGGGAGTCGTTTCTGGGAAAACAGAACGTATTGGGGAGTCGCAAAAGAAAATAAAAAGAACTCTTTCGGTAGTCTTACCCATACAAAATTAATAAAATCTAGTATAAAGCATAAAAAAATTCATAAAACAAAGATACCCACTACATGTACCAACTCAGCCCGGGGATGAATTTCGACCCCTGCGGAACCTGTCTCTGACAAGTGTAAGAATATACCCAGTATATACTCGCCTTTAAGTCGATTTTTTGGAGCTGAATATTGGTTCGAAACTCTTTGCGCGACTTATATGCCAGTCATAGAAACATCGGTATTTTTCAGGAAGAGAAAGTGTAATTTTATAGCAACTCCAACTATAATCATTAATAAAGATTACAACTTAATGGCAAGATTTTTAAATACAGGTTAAGTAAGGTTACCTTGTGCATAATAAATTGCTAACAGATTTTATAGATACTATAATAAATATTTAAATAGTTGATAAAAGATCAAGTTTCGATGTCAAATCCAAATATACATTGAAACGCAAGCTAAATACAATAAAATATTGATCTGAAATGGGAACAGAGTCTGTCAAAAAATGGTATCGACTTATGGACGGGTCAAATGGCAATCTCCTCCAAAATAATATAATAATAATTAAAAGGAAAAAAATTTTCTCCAAATATTTCGTAGATGTAAGG